AATGAACTTAGAGAAAAAATAAAAAAATAAATTAGCTACAAATTGATATTGTTCTGCGATGAAGTTAAACTCTAAGCAGTCTTCTCCTCAGATAAATAACTTGTTTTTATGTATATGAATGTTTCTGTTGTGTCCTGAGATGACTTCTGTTTTGACTCGGCGCTATATAAATAAACTGAATTTAACTGATATTGACATTGTATTATGCTCTTATTATATAATTGTGTGAATGTTTCCTAATCGTTCTCACTGTTGGGATCTGTTATTCTCCATATGTTTTTCTGCATATAATTCCCCAGTTTTTATTCTGTTTAATCAATTCATGTCTCAAAACGTTCAGCTCCTTCACGACATTCCTGCTGTGCCTTTTGGTATTTGTCCAGATTTTTACTTTTTGAAATATTTAACTTTGTTTGTATTTAGCCATGTTTTTCTCATTGAAAGTGAATGGAGCTCTTCACATCCTGTTTAAACCTTTTACTGCTCATTTCAGCTTTTGTTCTGGTTCAGCTTTTTTAAGCTCATTTTGGCCATTATCAGCTCCTTTTAGCTTCTTTTGACTAATTTCAGCTTTTATCTGCTTTCTCAGCTACATTTCAGCTTTTTTTCTGCGGATTTCAGGCTTTTGGCTACTTTTCAACTAATTTCAGCTTTTATGTGTTTTTGTCCCTTTTCTGCTAATTTCATCTTTTTATCTATTTCCAGCAGATTTTCTGTTAATTGTAACAGCTTTGTACTCTAACATCCTGATGCATGCTCAATAATCCAGGGACAAAAATCTCCTCTGGACATTCAAAACATCACAACAAGACTTTGTTTAATTTTGTTGTTTTTTTTGTTTTGTTTTTGTTTTTTGAACGTCAAGAGGACCAGACATCATTTTTTTAGTGTTGTGCTCTGTTAAGCTTCATTCTTCTCATTTCAGTATTTTTGTGTTCCTTTGGGGTTTTTTCTGCTAATACAGTCTTTCTACACTTTCAGCTTTTTTTGTTGCTAATTTCACCATGTTACTGCTACTTTCAGCTTTTTTCCCCTGCTAATTCCAAATTTTTTAATCTACTTTTTTTTTATTTTGCTTTTGTGCATTTTTTAGCTGATAATTTTATACTTTTCTGCTCACACTTAAGTAAGCTTTAGTTAGTTCAGCAGCTTTCAGCAAATTCAGTCCTCAACAAGCATTCACATTTCATTTTCATAAGAAATGCAGTTTCTCTAGATTTTGCTTTTCTTTTTAATATATTCTATGTTGCTTTATATTTTAGACATTCATTCTGACATGTTTCCTTACTGTGCATGCAACAGCAGTGAGTAATACGTATACAAGCACCACCACCTAACCATTCAGTAGAAAATGTAGTCAACTGCAGTGTTTATTTAGATTGTATGCATTTAATTTCTTGGTCCACATTTGGAGAGGTAAACCATTTAAGAATCATATTTTTCTGTTTTCACATTTTAGAAGGGGTAACTCTTGGTGTTTGATATTTCCCTCGGTGTGAACACGGTAAAACGCCTGTGGCTTAACTCGGGTATTAGTTCTGTAGGAAAGGTGAGCAACATCAAAGCAACTATAGCTACAGTTGCTTTCTGAGAAAGTGTTTTCCATTTTCAGAATGTTGTTCCTTTGTACTCTAGTGTCATAGATGTCCACATTTTCGCCACCTAGAGGCATGTCACGGGTATTTCAGTGTTTCTATATAGATACAGTATATATATTAAAAAAGGCTAAAACATCCAGAGTACCAGTAGTGTAGTCAGGACCTTATTGTAACAAGCCGATGTGTTTTTCAGAGCATGTGGATCCCTGTCTGGATGGAGCTCGGGTGTGCGTGGGCCACGTGACGGCTGTCGGAAGCGGGGACTCCTCCATGAGAGCGGTGCCAGAGGAGGGGACAAAGAGGAGCGGAGAGGAGCTGAGGGAACTGTGGAGGAAGGCCATATGGCAGCAGATCCTGCTGCAGCGAATGGAGAGGGAGAACCGGAAGCTGCAAGGTGAGCTGGAAGAAGGAAAAGCCTTCAAGTTAACCAGACGAGTCACGACCGCCGGTGTGGAAAACAACTCTTGGCCCACTTTGTAAAATCACCTCATCCATCCTTGGACTCATACAACAAGTTTGGATGTAAAAGTGAAGTCTTTGCCACTGTTGCTGATGCTGAGTCGAAAAGCTTTTTATTGTTTCAAACAGGTGGCGATGCTTCATTCATGGCCTGCCATCAGTCACCTGTAAACACCATTGAGAGATCATTAGTTTCTGTGGTAGCTACACAGCAGAACAAGTTTTTCTTTATGACATCTTTGGCAAGCTGCCCTGGCAGATGTGCACTCAAAGAGATTCTGTGATTAAAGACACACCTGCTTTTCTTTGTTTTAAACTTACACAACCACAAATTAATAGGTTATATAATGTTAGTGCGTGTGCGCGTCCACTTGTGTTTCTGGGAAGGAAGGCTTTGGGTGTGTGATGTGCACCGCCCCTTTCTTGACCCAGTTGGCTCGGATGTTTCTACACAGAGTTATGTGTCACAGCCCTAACTACCTGTCTTGCATATAAACCTGCACACACACACACTCAAACACGCACTTACAGGAATGATTTCTGCCACAGCTGGGTGTGGATGAAGATGTTTGGGTCGTTATTGGGAAGCAGCCTCACTAATAATCATCTTGATAACAAATTCTCTGCAGTCCGTGCGCACATTTTTACCATCTGGTGTTTTTCCTGCATGTTTTCAGTTCACAGTTTATGTTGGAGATCTGTGTTTTAGTTTAATTCTTCAGGTTGAGCTCTTTTATTGTGTCCGTCTGGTTTTCGGCTCAACTTGGAGTGTAAGTGCCTCCACTTTTGTCAGCCTCAGGGTGGGGTATCCTGTCCTGTTGTGTGTTATCAAAGGCGGGAGAGAGATGGAGAGTTGGAGGCTAGGAGAGATCTGAAGTTGGAGGCAGTGAGCGCCAGCTGGGCTGCTGCCAGCGAGCCAGTCTTGATGGAGTAGATTCCGCTCGTTCCTGTCAGATAAGACAAACAGCGCAGCTGCAGCGTCTCCGACAGCATCTATTCTTACTCTGGGTGTGTCAACACTGCGCCATCCAAGTTTTCTTTTTTAATTGTCCTCATTGCTCTTTCCAGGTCATTATCTTTCTGTCTTTGACGTCTGAGGTCGTCATAATCAGTATTTTATAGGAGCATTTTCCCATGTACTCCTAACCTTTTTTTTTTAATTATTTTATTTTATTTTTTTAGAAAATTGCTTATTTAAGTGGCTCTGGTATTTTCTGTGCAAATTTTGCTGATGCACAGATAATAATTTAACCTAATTCCCGCTGTTTATTTCACACACACACAACGCCCTCTGTTTCCTGGAAGGTATCGGTGCAGGTTATGTGACGAGGCCCACCGTCTCTGTCCAAAAATGATGATATCACTCTGCTGAACATGGCCAAGTTGTATCTGGTCACTGGGTGTGCACCACACATGATCGGAAAGGGTGGGGCATCCTCTCTGGGAAGCAGGGAGAGTGGCCGATGGACACCAGAGCTGAGAGGAAAGGAGGAGAAATGATGGGTTGTGTGTTAAGAGACTATGGAAGGCTGAGAGGAAGGGTGTTGTCAAAAAGGAACAGCAGAGGGGCGCTGGGTGTTTCCTCACCTCCTTTGATCGCTGGTCTCACCACAGAGCAGAAATCACAGTTTAGGTGTTTTCGTTTTAATGTTGGCTGTTGATCTGAAGCTTGTTTACCTCGCACAGAAAATGTCTTGATGCTTAGTAACCCCAGTTATCAACGATGCTGACATCCAGATGTATTCTCTTCCTGTGGGAGACCTCAAATGTCTGACTCACCGTATTATCAGATACAGCCTCCCAAAGAAGGATGTTTAGGCATCTATTAGTTTTTATTCATTTTTTAATTTATGAAATAAAACCTCTAGGTCATGAAGCCATCAAAGAAATGTCACATAAATTTGCAGCTGTTGAATTACACCACTGTGGTGGCTCAGAGGTTAGAGAAGGCCAGCCTGTGATTGGAAGGTTGCCGGTTCAACCCCCTGGACTGACAACATCAAAATGTGGGTGGTATGGGTGAAGCACCTACACCGTTTGCCCCACCCTGGGTCTTTGAGCAAGGCCCCGAATCCCCACCATCTGCTCCCCTGGGCGCCATAGACAGCAGCTCTCTGCTCCACACAGAGGGCTGTGGTAGCTCAGTGGTCTGTGGTTTTGTCAGGAAGAGCACCCAACATAAAAACAATTGCCAAGTCTTTGTGCGACTCAGTTCGCTGTGGCGACTCCTGAAGGGGGCAGCCGAACGAATCAAAAAAATAAAAATAATAATTTTTATTATACGCCCGTCGAAAGACGGACGTATTACGGTATAGTCTCTTTCTTTTCTCCAGGCCATATCTGATCCACTCAAGATAATTTAAGGAAACATCATACACATATGCATTATCACTAGACGGAGCGTTGCATACACTTTTCATCACTGCAGCTCCAAGTTCAAGGTCACAAATCAAGGTCAAAGGAAAATAAGGACTTTGCTTGTCTGGGCAATAACTTGTGATCCGTTCAAAATAAACCAACAGTGACAGATACACACAAGCATCATCACTAGACAGAGTGCACATAAACTTTTCATCACCGCAGTTTCAAGATCAAGGTCACAAATAAAGGTCAAGGGTTAGATGAAGTCTTTGCTTGCCTGGGTCATTGCTTGTTATATAACCTGAGTTTGGAGACATTGTTGGATTCTGATCAGATTGATGAGCTAACGGCTAGTCCAAGCGGGGTCGACACTAAAGTGGATTGCTGCAGTCTTTTAAACATCCAGTCTTCAAAATTATGTGCACTTTCATGCGACCTCCAAAATACAAACCTTTACATTGCTCTCAAATTTGCATTGTTAATCGCTCAAACGTTAATGCAGCACAGCAGAACTATCACGAGGACTTCACTGGAAAGTTATCTAACGGAGTGACCTCAAGACTGTCGCAGTCGTAAAATATTTGTTGGTGGCCGTTTGGAAAATTTGATTTACTGTATTTAGAATTCCCTTTTTGTTTAGATGAAACCCACATAGAGAAGCTGTTATCTGTGCAAGACTAGATTAAGATCACCACTTGGTGCCATTGTTCAACTGCAGATCTTTGCAACACAGGAAATAATAAAACATAAAAAGATGGATAGAATTTGTTCCACTTCAATCCTGCAGGTAAATGAACAAGATTATGATTTTTATCTCATTAACAAATATTAACAGTCACTGTCTGATGCACTATAAGGGTGCATTCACATCAGCCCTGTTTAGTCCGCTTTAATCGAACTCTAGCTCGTTTTCCTAGAAAGTCCGGTTCGTTTAGGGAGGTGTGAACGTGTCATCTAACTCTGTCACGGAACAAAAAGGCGAACTCTGGCCCGGGCCTAAACCTAGGTCTCGGTCCGGTAGAAGAGAACTCCAGCGCGGTTCAAGTACAGTGTGAATGTAAACAGACCGGGCCCCGCTCCGCAGGGTAAACAAACACGCATTTCTCTGACCTTATATGGAGCCGTCAGCTTCCTCGTGTGGAAAAACAATATTCTCCATGGTCTTCTGTCTCATCTTCTGCTCATGCTGAGTCCATTTTTGAAAAATGACAAAATATAACCCCTAAAACTGCTAAAACTTGATGCCACTCCATTTTTTTTATTTACAGAAGACGAAGAAGACGTGTCTTCAGATGTTTTTGTGTTGTTTCTTTCAGTAGTTCTTGGTGCAGCGCCCCCACAGGCGAGCGGGGGAACAGGTTGGTTCAACAGGTTGACTCGACTGCACAGTGCAGTGTGAATGCAAACGCACCAGCTCAAATGTACACAAAAGGTCATGAATATTGGTCCCGAACCGAACCAAGTCTACCGGACTATCTGGTGTGAAAACGACTTAAAACTTCAGCAATGACTTTTAACATTAGTAACATGGACTGTGTGTGTTTTTGTGTCTGCAGCCTCAGAGAGCGATCTGCAGAACAAGCGCCTGAAGTTGGACTATGAGGAAATCACTCCGTGCCTGAAGGACGTCACACTGGTGTGGGAGAAAATGCTGGGAACTCCTGGGAGGTCAAAGGTCAAATTTGACTTTGAGACCATACATGCTGCTGTTGCACAAGGTTCGTATTGATCCAGCTCGGCCTGTCACGATAATTAATTATGCTAAGCGATTAATTGTCTCAGAAATAATTATTGTCAAATTTAAGAATAAATGTTGGTAATTTTTTTGTGTAGTACCTTTTTATGACCACTGGATGGCACTATAAGACTATTTGAACCGAAGGATGGATGGCGAGGGAGCAGCAGCGTGCCTCTTTAAGAAAAATGGGAGGGAGGCCCCTTGACGTGACATGGGCTGTTTCTCGTTCCTGTTTTTCATTTCTCAAAATGACGGACACTCGGTGTGGTTTGAGCTCTTTAGCATAGCATTTTTCACACAAAGCTTTTAACAAAAAAATCAGTAAACAAGTTCTCAGCTGCTTTTTGCAGAGAAAAACACTTTTTAGACGAAGGCACGGGTTTCAACGGTGAATTTTGGAGCTTTGACAAGACAGAGGTTTTTTTTCCGAGGTCGGTCTTTTAGCTTAGCTCGTAGCTTAGCTTCTCAGCTTAGCTGCTTTTAATGATCCAAAAACACGATTTTGGACGGTTAAAACAGATTTTAAAGAGAAAGGGAGGGGTCAGTGAAGAGCACTGGAGTTGGATCTTTTTGTCATCCAGTGTCTTCAGTAGAAAGAGGGACAAGAATAAACGATAAAGCCGATAAATGAAACTGAGATCGGTAATGTTCATTTATCATGCGATTAACTGATTTATTGTTTATCGCGACAGGCTTAGATCCAGCTTCAATTATAAAACACTTAAGATAACCAACGCAAGACTAGAGTGTTATACAGAACAATAAAAACAAGACCGAAGTCATAAAACAAAAACGTAAGAATAGCACTATAATTAAAAAAAGCTGTATGGAGAAATGTACAGTGGGAGAAGAGGCCTTGCAATTAAACGGTCATTCCACAGCTGTAACAAAGAGCAGCTCAGGGTTACACTTGATTTTCTTTAGTCAGGAGCATCTGGAGAGCTGCCCTGAGTGAACAGGTGAGTGTTTACAGGTGTAGCAGCACAGAGAAACAATGGGGGCGAGGCCGTGGAGGACTTTAAAATTAAACAAATTCAAAGTGAACCCTGAACTGTACGAGCAGCCAGTGGAGGGGGAGGTGTGCTCATATTTACGAACACAGATGCATCAGTTCTTCATAAAAGTTTGTTCTTTTTGTTGTTGCAAATCAGCAGTTCCCCTAGGTTTCTGGCCTCAACAAGACAAACAATTCAAATTTTTGTTTCGCTATTAATAACAGTTTAATAGTTTTATAACTGGGATGAATTAGTTATAAAGTGTGCAGCTGTTCTCTCTCGTAAAATAGCTTTTCTAAAGCCTCTTATTATAGAAAAAGATTAACTTTATTTTGGTTGTTTTGAGTAGTTGGCAACATTTTTCAGTTAATGTAATTTCATAATAGATTAATATGAAAAATATATTCCATTTTTTACATTAATTCTGTTGAATCTGTTTAGTTGGCCTTAAATTACATCTCACAGCTTTTAATGTTCACTCATAGTGTCAGTGTTGATTAGCCAAAAAGGGATAACAGTAATAAAACTACTTATAGTTGACATTGAAAGGGTGTTTTTACTTTTACTTTTATATAACTTTGTTAGAGTCGTAAGTTATATTTTAAAAATTATAGCACAGTTGGTCATTTACACAGTATTATAAAACTTCAAAAGTGTCGTTTATATTTTACAAACTGATAATTTCTACATTAAAACAACTTTATTTCACTTGAAGGCATAATATTTTTAAAATTTCAACTACAATTTATTTTTCATATCTCACCATATATCTGCCCGGGTGCTTACACAGCTGCCCACTGCTCCACCTGGGTGTATCCCAGGTGCGATGGGTTAAATGCAGAGAGCCAATTTCATCTTTGTATGGGAACATACAATGATGACAACACATAACACTTTATTTATTGTATATTGAATTACATTTATCGTAATAGTTACCTCACATTATGGTTCCAAATAAAGAGTTTTAACACATACTGATAACCAAAGCCTCGCTTATATCATGATTCCATGTAGGATTGAAATTTGCAGACAATTATGATAAACGAGCACTTGAAACTGGCACTCTCACAGAAAAAACATGAGCTTCAGAAAAAGAGAGTTAAAAAATAAATTGAAAAAAACTTCAACAGGGACACACTTGCTATAATCTTGGATATCCAAATAAACTTTAATGTTAATATTGTTTAATTCCAAGAAATAAAGCAGGAGACGGTGAGTCACACCGACTGACACTCAAACAGGCTGCACGCTCTCTGCCTGTGGGTTCAGTGTTGCTCCGAACACTTGAGCATTTAGTACAGAGTTAAATTTTACATACAAAAGTACAGAAGAGGTCAGTTTGGGGGGATGGGGTGATGATGGTGTCTTCCGGTCATGAACATGTACTGACGTTCCTGCCACGATCTTTATGGCAGGGCGGCTGCCGTCATTGAATAATGGAAAGGAAAGGCTTTAAACATGGAGCAGTTGAGAAATGAGTCTGTTAAGACTGTTTTGTCTTTGATGCTGATCAGAGTCTCTGCTGATCAGTTCTTGCAAAATCCAACATCACACAGTAACAAACTACACACTTTAAATACACAAGTTATTCAAGTCAAAGCCAATATTTAAAGCCTAACTTGTTCTGTAACTACGGACGCTTATCTTTGCTCATGCCCTTATTTTAGTCATCATGATATCAAAAGGGACGTTGTGCATAGTGCCTGTTATTTATTTAAACTAAAAAAATTAACACAAATGTACATGAAATTATATTACAGTGCATGAACTGTATATAATATACAGTAATATGTAATATATGTAATATTACATAAATTATTTAACATGGTAAGTAATTTTTTAACTGCACAAAACCCAGAATTTTCTGTTAGTTTCAAACAAAACCACACAGCGAGTGCAGCTTTTGTTCTAGATGCTTTCAATGCACCCAATTTATGCAACATTAAAATGTGTTCATGTAAAACAAACGCAAAAAGGAAAATAAAATGTCGACTTACTCCCAAACTGTAATGGTTCAACAAAGACGATAAACAGCAGACAGAGACTGCCGATGGAGCAACTACTGCAAACTTCCTGCTTCTTTGAAACTCGTTTATTTGTGCGCTAACAGAACGTCACACTTTCCTGCTGTGACACTAAAATTACACACATTATTTAATTTTACTCTTTATTTTAATTTTTTACCTTTTCTTGCAAATGATATCCACTACAGCATCAGTTTATTTATTTATTTATTTTGTGGGTGCGAATAAAGCAATGCGTTTTATTATTAGATTTTTTTAAATTCAATAATAGAAACAAATAAAGGTTTAGGAAATAATTTATTGGTTTCGTAATTAGCTTATTCAATTTCCTTAGTGGGATCAGTACAGATTAATAAAGCTCATCTTCGTCAGAGGAGGCTGATCTGACGTCAAGTCAAAACACAGTTTCACTTTAACGCTCTGAAATTCCTCCTCAATTAAATTCAACCTGTTTTTTAACATGGCATATGTAACGAATCGTGCATTCTTTGAAGTTTTTTCTTGTATTTGTGTGTACAGTAAAACTCATGTTCATTTCCTTCTAATAGTTTTACACTCGTGTCTCCTTGAGTCAGAACTTTTTGTCCAGAGACTGAAGTTGTTCCCTCAACATCCAACAGTTTGTTTAGAAATTTTCAGAACAGCTCAGACTTTAAAATATGTATTTCTACGTGGAAAATATAATGAGCTGCAGGAGAAAACCTGTTAAAGTTTTATGCAACAAAACATTCAGTAATGGTGGCACCTCTTTGGTTCAACAAAACACTCCTGGTCCTCACCTGTCGGTTGTCTCTCGTCTGTGCAGGTGTCCCGAGGCAGCATCGGGGTGAGATCTGGAAGTTCCTCTCCGAGCAGTTCTTACTCCGGCAGACTGTTCCCTTGCGGTCTCCGTCCAATCAGACGCCGTACAAAGAGCTGCTGAAACAACTCACCTCGCAGCAGCACGCCATCCTCATAGACCTGGGTAACACACGCACAAACCTGCATCGTTTTTATTAAACGCCTGTCGAAGGCATCACTTGATGCACATCTGCAACTGAAAAATGTTTGAAGCCAGCCCAACTTAAGATGGCTGCCGAAGCTAATCCAACTTAGAAACGAAAAAAAAGGCATTAAATGTACACTGCCAAGCCAAAAAAAATAATAATTCACCACCCCAAAAAAAAGGTCACACACTAATATTTCGTTGGACCGCCTTTAGCTTTAATTACAGCAGCATTCACTGTGGCATTGTTTCAATGAGCTTCTGCAATGTCACAAGACCTATTTCCATCCAGTGCTGCATTAATTTTTCACCAAGATCTTGTATTGATGATGGCAGATTCTGATCACTGCACAAAGCCTTCTCCAACACATCCCAGAGATTCTCAGTGGGGTTAAGGTCTGGACTCTGTGGTGGCCAATCCATGTGACAATGATGTTTCATGCTCCCAGAACCATCCATCCATCCATTGTCTTTTACCCGCTTCTTCCATTTTGGGTCACGGGGGTCGGCGGTGCCCATGTCCAGCAATCACTGTGAGGGGCGGGGTACACCCATGACGGGTCGCAAGTCCGTCACAGGGACACATAGAGACAAATGAGACAAACAACCATTCACTCTCTCACTCACACCTAGGGACAATTTAGAGTTACCAATCAGCCTAACATGCATGTTTTTGGTGTGTGGGAGGAAACTGGAGAACCCGGAGAAAACCCACGCATTTACGGAGAGAACATGCAAACTCCACCCAGAAAGGCCTCTGGACCAGGATTTGAACCGGGGACCAGCTCGCTGAGAGGCAGCAGCTCTACCAGTTGCACCACCATGCTGCCCCTCCCAGAACCACTCTTTCACAATTCGAGTCCGATGAATCCTGGCATTGTCATCTTGGATCATGCCCGTGCCATCAGGGAAGAAAAACTCCATTGATGGAATAACCTGGTCATTCAGTACATTCAGGGAGTCAGCTGACCTCGTTCTTTGAGCACATGCTGTTGCTGAACCTGGACCTGACCAACTGCAGAACCCCAGATCATAGCACTGCCCCCACAGGCTTGTACATTAGGCCACATTTTTTTCTGGCCACATTTCTTCCTCAAAGTCGATGGGAGTATAATGTGCCGTACTCTTGTTTCACACTGGATTAATTGTCCTTTGATCCTGTGTTTAACTCTCGTAAATTAGGATTAATTAATCCACTTTGCGTTTTGAAAAGTGTGATGTGTCGTACGTTTCTAAGTGAGTACACATCTCAAATCAAGAGTTGTTATGGTTGCTACAGACCAACAAGTGAATTCTTATTTTATGTAGTAAAGCTCTGATGTCCGCCTCTGTTTTTAAACATGTAAAATAAAAGTTGACCATATGACGTTTTCTTTAGCTGATCTTTTAAAATCAAGGCTACTGATGGCATATGCTGGTGAAGATTCTCAGTCATCCAGGACATGATGAATTCAAAAAAGCGTTCAAACAAAAGTGAGAAAGCTCCTCGGTTGAGGAGCGAAACGTCTTCCGTTACAAATAAAGTCCAGTTGTTTTTGTATTGAACGCTTTTTTGAATACTGATGGCATGTATATAATATACACCAGTTTTTAGTATGTTTCAACAATTTGCATTTTTCACAATGAAATATAAAAATAACTGCTTAATTTTAATAAAGGTTTATTTAACAACCATTAGAAGAACTTAAATAAGATTCTCACTTGAAACAACTGAATTGTGGGCTACATTAAGCTGGTTGTAGCATCAGCTGCTGCATCTTTATTTCTCTACTACGTCTCTACAAAAAAATAAAAAATTAGAGGTTTTGAAATGTATGCTATAGAAACTGTTGGCTTCAATATTTTCACACAAGTTAATCAACACAGCAGTTTCTAACACCTACCACCCAAAAAACCCACACGTACAGTACTCAGTACGTCCACCCCACCCTTGTAACACCCACACTCATATATACATATCCACCCACACATCAGTCCCTGTAGCACTCAGCCTGCTGCACTTTTACTGTTGACCCCGTGTCTTTAGGCTGGCGTCGTTGTTCTCTACATCAGATAGGACGGTGAAACGGCATTCGCTCGGGCGGTTTACTGGCATACATTTTTGTGGAGGTGCGATGTGTAACATTGCATAAAAAACAAAGCATTTATGATAAAGGGGGCTGGGAGGTATGCCGGTTAAAGCTGTAAACCCAACATAAAAAGCAAAAGTGTTGAGCGCTTCCACACCTTCGATAAAGACGCGCTGCTCTACAGGCGGGGCGTTGCGGCGTTACGTTCGCAAACCTAAAGCCCTCAGATCGCATTCCACTCCGACTCGCACTTTGTCTTCTTCACACTCTTCAGCTTACACAGTCTTCAATCCTAAAGTACACATACCTTCTAATTGTCTGTCTGTCCGTGATAACAAGTGTGTTTTATGGATTTGAGCCTTCGTGATCTTGACGCCTTGTTCTGAAGTGAATGTTCAATATTTGGTTTTAAATAAAGCTGTCTGTTTTCAGGAACAAGGGTTCTAGTACGTGTGATGGGAGTTGATGACACATGCTCATGCACTGACTTTAATAACTGTGTTTTTGGTTAAATTTAGCATCCCAGATGAAGTTCACCTCTGCACGCTTTGTTCCAACGTGTGAACACATCTGCAGGATTTTATCTTGTATAAATCACTCCAGTTTGCTCAGATTCTGGTAAAAATTGTATCAGACAAAAGAAACCAATCTCCAGTTACTCCAAGCTCTGCTACTGGATGTATTGGGTTTCTCAAACAGACATTTTGTAAAACAACATTTTATTTGCTTTGCATTTCATTTGAGTCATATTGTTAGCATATTACTTAGCATTTAGAAGCTAATACTTTGCATAAAATACATAATATTTTAATATACATACCGGTATATACATTTGTTTTTGGTTCCAGGTCGCACTTTTCCTACTCACCCATACTTCCAAGCCCAGCTGGGGGCAGGGCAGCTCTCTCTGTACAACATACTGAAAGCCTACTCTCTGCTGGACCCTGAGGTATATTTTCCCCCGTGTTTCACGTGGATCAACCTGAACGTTGGCTGCTTTTGTTTAACTTGAAGTTTAACCCTTGTTATTGTAGGTGGGTTACTGTCAGGGCCTGTCCTTCATCGCTGGAGTGCTGCTTTTGCACATGGGGGAGGAGGACGCCTTCAACATGCTCAAATTTCTGATGTTTGATGCAGGTCTTCGTAAACAGTACCGGCCTGACATGATCATCCTGCAGGTAAACAGCGCAACAGGCCAACCTGTCTTTGTCGTGCCTTACTGCAGCAGGTTTCAATCAGGTGGGTTTTAAGAAGTCATTGGAGAGCCGGAACAAAGACGTGTAGTTGACTTACAGCTGAGGAACATCTGCAGCGATTCAAAGATGATGCTGTGCTCTGTCTGATTTACTGGACAGAATGTAGCAGAACTATCCTTTTGGTCACAAAAAAAGGTTACAAAAATACAAATGTACTGTACTGACAAAAAAATCTGAGTCGTTCTACCTGTAGGTTCAATTTCAGCAGATAATATCCTGTCGATTGGTTTGAAGCCAACCTTGTAATTTGTCTGACCCACTTAAAAAACAAAGGATGTACCAACTTCTGTTTTGATGTGTGACTGTATCTAGGCAAAAGACAGGTTCCCTTTGAAAACTGGGTTGCCACTTCAAAATCTAAGATGGCTGCCGCCATATATTTATATATTTAAAACTTGTGAGTTAATTACCAGTAACTTGAAAAATAACAAACGTGATGACTTCTATTTTTTGGTATCTGGCTGCATCCAGGCATGAAAAAGGTTCCTACCAAAGATTAGGTTGCCATGTCAAAATCAAGATGGCCGACACCATAAAAGTCTGTTTTGTGAGCATGATAACTTGAAAAATGTTGCTGTTCCCTTTTGATGTGTGGATTATTTCATCTGTTGACATGACGTGTATGAGTCGTGTAAATGGGTTTGGCCATTCATGTGCACTACAACAGTCCTCGTTCTCTCTGAAACCCATGGTTTCTGAATCCTGGTCTCAGAGTGGAGGTTTTTAGGGACCCCCCCCCCCCCCCACACACACACACACACAAACACACACACAGTTGTGAAGTCGCGCATGTGCACCACAGTAACTGCAGTTACAATAAATGTCAGAGAGCAGAGGAGTTTTGTGCTTACTTTGCCTTTTTAGCATGTAGGAGCAAACTAACAGCACCCTTGGTCCAAAGGAACATTCATGTATTCACCAGTTTTCATCCGGGTCATTTTTGTAAATAAGAACTGGTTTTCAAACATTTCACGTGGTAAATGTAAAAAAAAAAAAAAATGTTTGGACGAAACGGTAATCATGCAGACAGCGCATGCACGAATCATGCAGCTGAGCCTGGCTTCAGGGTTGCCAGATAAATATTTGTTTTACCTCTTCCTTTTTTGTGTACATGTTCACTAAACATGTCATATTACAACACCCTCACTCAACACTGTAGTGAACTAAGCCTCACGCATATTATCTCTCATTACAACACATATGACACATTGGGACAAAGTACAATAATTTTAAACCCACAAAACAATAATTCATCTTTTCTTATCTGGCAACCCTGCCTGGCATGGAAACCTGCGCCTCAATATAAACATGTCTTTTTTGATCATTCGCTCCAATAAACATAAAAAAACCTGATTGTTGTCATGTAAGCATTACATTATTGTCTTTAAATGTTGTCCACATAAAGAACCCTTACGTACCAGTAACTATAAAAATTACATTTTATTTTATAATCTCATTGACAGTCTATAAGAACAATAACTAAAACTGTGACTATAAATAATATAGAGATCATTTTAGAAGCAAACTTCCATCCATCCATCCATTATCTTTACCCGCTTATTCCATTTTGGGTCATGGGGCTCGCTGGTGCCCATGTCCAGCAATCACTGTGCGAGGGGCAGGGTACACCCTGGACGGGTCGCAAGTCCATCACAGGGCCACATAGAGACAAACGAGACCAACAACCATTCACTCTCTCACTCTCATCTAGGGACAATTTAGAGTTACCAATCAGACTAACGCATGTTTTTGCTCTGTGGGAGGAAACCGGAGCACCCGGAGAAAACCCACGCATGCACGGAGAGAACATGCAAACTCCACCCAGAAAGGCCCCTGGACCGGGGTTTGAACCAAGGACCTGCTCGCTGAGAGGCAGCAGCTCTACCAGTTGCGCCACCGTGCTGCCCAGAAGCAAACTTATGAACAATTAAAAATAGAGTGCAAATCAAAACATATTTTTGTAAAACTCTTAATAAAAAGACTCCATGTTTGGACCTCAAACTGTTTTTCTGGGTCATGTTTTTGTTTTAGGTGACCGTTTGCTAAACGCTTGTTTACCTTGTTATTATGCTGAAAACAGGCGTGTTTTGATGGAAGCCGAAATGTGTTTTGTGTGTCAGATTCAGATGTACCAGCTGTCTCGGCTGCTTCACGACTACCACAGAGATCTGCACAGCCACCTGGAGCAGCAGGAGATCGGGCCCAGCTTGTACGCCACCCCCTGGTTCCTCACTTTGTTCGCCTCACACTTCCCCCTCGGCTTCGTGGCCCGTGTGTTTGGTAAGCTCACCTCAGTACGGCCCACTAGTCTTACTCATTACCTGCTAACCTCTCCCATTAGAGCTGAGGGTGCGTTTACAGCAGCATGGAGGAGACAGTTGTTTGAGTCTCGTGAAGAACAGTATTTGGTTGGAAAAAAAAAAGCTTTTAAAAATCATTGAGTAAATATTGTGACGTGATGAGTTTGTATGATCTTTCCTTCCTGATTCTTCTTCATGCCTAATTTTTTGGTATCTGGCTCCGTAGCTGAACCAGACTGACTGGCTCCTTGGGCTCATCCAAGCAGAACAATCTGTGTGTGTTCGTGCGTGCCGCAGTGTGTGGGCATCTTCTATTCACCGTCACGTGTTTGATATTGTATGTGGGGCTCCACACCTCCACTCCCATTTCATTTTATTTTTCCTGCGTGTGATCTCATGCAACGTTGCCTAACCCATACCACACCCTGATGTATTCAAAGAATGACACTCAAGCACACACCTACTCAAGATTCAGCCGAGCATTTATTTACGTTTGCTGAAGCGTTTCTTATACTGACGTCAGATTATCCTCTTGGTCAAAAAGCCTTTAAGCTTCTCTGTCGGTGCCTGTTTTTATAAATTTAATGTCAAATATTTTTAAAGTTTCCACGTGCTGTTCTCTTTTGTGTTGTACTTCTTTTTTGTCCCACGTTGCGGACGAGCAGAAGAAGGAGAAATTGGAAATACCCTCTGTCCATCCACGCTGAGAGCTGGATAACTTGAAAAATAAGTGAGGGAACAACCTCCATTTAGGTGTTTGGCTACATCTTGATGTAAGAACAGCCACTATCAAAAAGTGTAATTCATATTTTATATATAAACTATATTTTATTTATGTTTATATATGTATAAATGTAAATATGCAAATGAGTAGGTGTATATTTCTAGTTTTTATACTGCTTAAGTATAGTTTCCTCGAATATTAGGGTGGCCTAAGATTAATCTATGGTAGACAAGACCACCATCGGCCACCCCCTGGGTCCTCCACTGTGCCTGGTGGTGGTTAAAATTGCTCCCTTCACTCGCCAGGGTGCGTCTCTTTCCGTCGTCTCAAACAAATAAAAAATAAAGCCTCCCTCTGTTTTTCTCCACAGTGTAACTCATACCCACTTGAATATCTTGCAATAAAAACATTAAGGTTTACTTACGTTTCCTGCTCAGATTCAGTCCAGACAAACACTCCTCTCCAAAATTACAGACGTTGACTCTTGAAATCCCTCAGCGACGAGGGACATGGACATACCGCTTGTTTTTTTTCTTCAGTAACCTTCTGATTTTTCCTCTTTTGCCAGATATGTTGTTCCTTCAGGGTTCAGAGGTCATCTTCAAAGTGGCGTTGAGCCTCCTTGGCAGCCACAAGCCTCTTATTCTGCAGCACGACAGCCTGGAGTCCATAGTGGACTTCATTAAGACCCTGTTGCCCAACCTGGGCCTGGTGCAGATGGAAAAAACTATCAACCAGGTATGAAACTGAAACAGACCTTTACTAATGGTTGTTTTGTACTAACCTGCTCGAGTGGGAACACAACACATCAGTGATTCATCAAAACTAGCTTTGAATCAAATTGCATCAGTCCCCATTTCCATAGGCGATTACTAAATAATAGCTGGAGCCTGCCTGTTAAAAGATATGTATTGCTTTTACTTTTATACTTTTCACACCTTCCATGGAAAGCCTTAACAAGTCACAGCAGGTTCTTTCCATTCGCGTAGCTCGTAGCCCACGCACTCTTCCAGCAAGCCAAGGTCGTCGAGAACCAGGAAGGAGAGGATCACGGCAGAGTTCAAAGATGAAGGTTACAGGAAGGCCTGTCAGAACCAGCATACAGGTCAAGGTCAGATGACCAAAGGACTTTACAGAGATTTAAATGTAACTTTTGCAGCTGCAACAGGTGGCACCAGTGCAAAGACCTCCAGGGTCATGGCAGGAATGTACTGTGAGGTCAGGAGAATCAGATTACCAAACCAACTTGTAAACAAGTCATCAAACCTGTAAAACTACAGACATCTCCTGTCAACTGCAGAAAAGCAGATTATACCCTGCTGTCTAATTTTAATCTGAACAAGTCAAACTCCGAGCTGAACAGATGTGCAGGAACCATCGGTGAAGCAGCTGCAGAGCAAAATAATACCAAAAATATGCAATAATAACATTAAAATAGATGTTTGATCCATAAATGTCTGATGCGATTTAGGTGAAAACACAATTATTTTTATTTTATTAGAGATTACAGAGTAATTTTCCAGTTTATAGACGGTCTCTAAACCTTCCAGCTGATCGACCACCTTACCTAACTGTTAAACAATATTTATTATATATTGTTCCCCATGAACTAGTCAATATTTTAAAGCTATTACAGCCTGAAATAAAACTTTCAAATTAAATTTGTTATTATTATTATTATTATAGCTTCTAATAGGTCTTTACTTTCACAAAACTCCACAATTCTGTTTAAATCAATTTATTTGTTTTGTGCCATTTTCTTTACGGAAAAACTGCCTTTTTTTTTTTTTTTTTTCTTTCCCCCATTTAGAAATATGTTTTTTACATTTTTATTTATGTTTTATTCCAGTTCAGAGTTTTCTGAAGACCTCCTTAGTTAATAAACAGATTTTTAATAATGTAAGTAAGTCAATACTTTAATGATTCTGTCTCCAAACTCAAAATATTGCTGTGAAAAGTAGGAAATGTCTCCTGGAGTCAAAATGCTTTTATCTTTCGAACCGTTAGCATTTTAAATGTTTTCAAAGCAACATGGACACCGTGGCTGAAACCGTACCTGTAAGTAACTTTAGTTTCCATCTTCTTACGTGCAAAACAAAAATAAACCAACAGATGTCTGCAGGTTTTCCATGGCAGCTATAAATCACCTGTTCTCGTCAGTTTGGAGGAGACGGCGTGTATTGACTCAGGTTTGGAGGATCAGTGGCGACATGGCCTCCTGTCCTCTGGCTTGCGTCATGTCACAGTGCAAACACTTGTTTCCTGCTCGCGTGTGTCAGTCACTTAAAGCACTTAAGAAACTATTAAATGTTTAGTTTATAAAGCTTTAAAAGGCTAACATCAGAGTGCGACACATCCGGTCCTTCCATCAGTTCTGAGAACAGCTGAGGGCGTGTGAGCTTATTTGGGTTTTATATCAAACCTCGGTGTTTTGAAAACTGCTGAGTCAACAGCATCAGGTGCAGCCGTTTAATGACTCCATCAGCAGAAGTCAGAGTTCAGGTGGATTTAAACGTGCACTTCCCTGTTGTTATAAAATGTTCAGTAATCTGTGTGATGAGGTAGTCTGGTTTATTGCCAGTGCTTTCACAACGAGAGCCAGTTTTCTGCCTCGTTGTTTTTATGCTAACTCTTGCGTAACTCGGTTTCTGCACGCAAAAAAACAAAACGTGTATTTTGTTTATTTTTACTTTTTGGAGAACTCCTATTTATGCTTCAATCCGCTCGTCATTCCCTCCAATAATGGAACGTTGTGGTGGGTTTGCATTCTCAAATATTACTGGAAAGGACTGAACTGGGCGTGCTGTTCTTTAAATAAATAAATGAAATCGGTTTATTTCTGTTTGTGAACCAAGACTTGCAGAATCGGTGCTACTCTTACGTTATACGCCTCTGGAGTGGGATTTAAGTCATCTCAAAGTTAGGTGAATTAACATTACACGGTGACGTCCAACAAAAAATATTAAGAGATGTAAAATAATAAAATTCAGACGTCCAGATGGGAGGTAATGAAAAGTTGTAAAGGAGTAAAGCTGACGATAAAACATCTCTATTGATTACAGTATTTATGTAAAATAAACCTCACGTCATGTTGTAGGAAGCTGTTTTAATGTGACGGTACATTTCTGTCCACTGAGTATTTATGTATTCATAAGTCATTTAAATTAAAAGTTGTTATTTCCACTTCACAACAAAGAGCTGATATTTGTCTCTACAAACGTCTCCTGCAGATGATGGGTTTCTGCAGGAGGGGGACAAACACGTCTGTGAAAGGCTAATAAACTATGAGCCACCACTCACACAAAGACTTGATCTGTATTAGTTGTTTGGACTTTACCCGTTGTATTGTCTGTACAGGAGAAACCAGCCACACTTTTATTGTTGTGTTTTTGTTCATCTTTTTTTGTGCAGTCAATAAACACGATTTTTCCTGACAAAGTCTAAAAGTCCTTCTACTGTTACTAGCTTTACTAGTTCTATAATTGTCATTTTTATGTTAGCTCACTTTGTATGAAAAGACTATTTAATAAATAAATAAATAAATACATATAAATAATTAAATAAACAAACCTCAATGTCCAACCTCTGTTTCTGGATCTGGCAGGTCTTCACAAAACTCAGGAAAGGAATTTTTTTTTTTTTTTAATGTAAACAAATTAACGAATAAATTTGGGCATTCTAATGGGTGAAAATTATTTATTTTTTTTTTTCAAAAATTAACATGAATTAAATATTTAGTCGATTAGATTTTTCACTGACACCTTTTTAAATTGGTTTATTTTATTGTATTCAATCATAAATACAAT